CAACAGAAAATTATGTTAAGAAGCCGAAGAAAATTTCAAACATACATGCCTCCATGAGCTTCAGGCATTAAATAAAACATGGTATCTTCAAAACAAGAACTCAAATAAATATATACACCAGCTCAAAAAGCAATGATAAGACAGTGATTGGACTGGAAAAATATCAGTGGTCAGGGAAAAAAGAAAGAGGAGAAAAATAAAGCCATTATAGAAATGAAAGGTCAGTGTAGCAAAAAGTAAAGTGGACAGTGCTGCAAACAATCATGAAGAACAGAGCTTGAGAAAAAGAAAGCAAAATAAAACGGAAAAGAAATACAGATCAAATGTTGCAGAATAAATGATAACTAATGAAGACAAAAATGATCTACAATAAAAATAATTAGTATCTCTGGGGAAGACAATAAAATAAATGGAACAAAAATATTAACAGAAATAGAGGGAAGAAATTCCTAAAATAAAACCTACAACAATTCATGAACTGTAGTACTCGTGGACCCTTATTGAAAAAATGACTCATTCACTTAATCTAACTAAGCAAGAGATGAATCCAAGAAGAGAGCCCAGGAATAAAGCTACCATGTCAGGAAAGAAATTATGGTTAGAAAACTGGGTAAAAATGTTGTGAATCTTTGCAGTGTAGAAATAATAACATGATTGACGTAGGAGAAGAAAGTGAGACTTAAAAAATATGTGTATTTGAAAGATAAATGAAGCTATGGATTTTTAGGACATTATTGAATGTTACTAGGAGCTTAGCTGAGCTGGGAAGGACAGAGTAGCTAACTAAAGCAGCAAGACAAAAATAAAAGAGTAAAGCCTTTATCACTGACTGTGGTGATATAAGCACATATGTAAAATAAGAGAAAACGCCAGGACCCCCTGCTCCATTTCCACATGCCGCAGCGGGTGTGTCAGCACAGATGTGGGGGAGTTCCGGTCTTAGGGGGAATTGTAAGGGAGGAGGGCTAGGAAGGGAAAGTGCTGAGTACCAGCCGGAGTAGGGAGAAGTGTCTTCCAGATTTCCACCACCTTCTCCCATAAGGAGGTCTTGGCAGAGCTGCGTGCAGTGGACCTCTCCCCAAGGCCACAGATAAAGAGAACTAGACATGCAAATATATGAAGAATGTGCTGGCCAGGGCGCCTGAATCCTTGACCCTAATGGCCTGCAGAGACTTGATGTGCTGACCATGTTCCAGTTCTGGAGTGGGAAGGGCAGCTTTCCCTCAAGGCCTGTGGGATGAAGCCTATGTAACTGCCCACAGTCAGACCTGAAAAATCACAGAGAGGGTTATAACCAGGAGCAGAACTCCTCAGGTATAAAATAGCTAGTAAAATAAAACTAAAGTCTGTAATTCATCTAGGTAGAAAATGAGGAATTACTAGTCACTACTATATAAACCACGTGAGCAGAAACCTTGTTTCTTGGTTCATTGTTGTCACAGACAACAATGTTGGTGGATCACTTTCTGAATGTTGAATGAACAACATATTGTAGCTAAAAAATGGACAGATACCAGGCAAATGGTCACAAATGATAACAGTTTCAGAATAGATATTAGTTAGAATGGATTTCAAGACAAGAACATTTAAGAATCATAGAAAGGTACTTTATAATGATGATTAATACAGTCCTCAATAAAGATCTGATTGTCATATTTATGTACAAGATAACATCAGAGTTCATAGAGCAGGAAATGGTAGGAAATATCCACTCAGTTTTTATTGGATACTTACTATAAGCCACAAAATAGGAAAATCATTATCTTATGAATATAAACTCAGTAATTCTAAGTAAAATATGACCAAATAATCAAAAGCACATCAAAAGAATAATGTAGCATAACTAAAATGGATTTTGTTTTGGAAAGTATAATAGTAATTTAGTACTTAGGAATTCTATTACTGTTATTCAACATGTTAATAATTGGAAAGAGCAAAACTATGTATTAGAAAATATTTGACAAATTGCAGGGTTTTCCAATAAGTTTAATCTCTCAGTAAAATTAGGACAAATGCATTCTACTAGAGATGTATATGTCATTTACTGGCTTTGTGTGTATGTGTGTTTATATTTCTGTTTAAACACAAACATGCACATATATCTCCCACTCCAATAGCATGCTACATGGTAAAACTTTAAAAGCATTCTCACTAAAATAATGAATAAAACAAGGATGTCTACCTTTGGCACTGTTATTTAATGTTGTTGTGGACTATTAGGTAATGTACTCATGCAGGAGAAAGAGCATATAAATATTAAGGAGGATTCTAAAGAATAATTGTGTAGGCCTGGAAAACAAACAACGTACTGTCCTAAAAATAGTATGAGGAACAATTACTACATTTAAGGAGGCTGTTTACAAAAATATGATAACCGGTAGCTTACTATATATGCAAACAAAGACATGTTAGAAAATATAATAGAAGAAAGTTTCTATGTATAGTAGTAACAAGAAACTTACAAACACTGAGAAATAAGTAACAAGAAATCTGCATGACCTAAGTGGAATAAAAGATACTTGAAAATTGGAAGTATGACCGAATATTGTACAAATGTCAGTTCTCTTTAGATTAACTAAAATTTACTAAAATTGTCAAAAGTTGTTTTCTAACCTACCAAGTTTTTCCTAAAGTTTAAATGACAATTAAGTATAAGCATAGCTAGGAAACTTTCTGCAAAAACAAGTAATAAAGCTAGTAAGAGGACCAATAAAACTGCTCATCAACGTGTGATAAACAGTGCTACCACACTGAGCTGACCTAATGTTCTCTGAAAGCAAAAGAATAGATTTCTGTTAGGTTGCAAATATCAACTTATTAAAGATAATTTGTGTATCTCTGTAACTACTTTCTTGAATTTCAACACATTTTAATGCCTTCCAATGCCAGGTTAAATAAAGTTGTGAATGATTTGACTAATTATTTCTTGCATAACTGCCCTATCATTTGATTTTTAAAAAAATCACTATTTTGAAGAATCCTTTAAAATTGTAATTTTTTATGCCAACCTGTACTGGAGGCAGTAACTCTGTTTACTTCCTCCAGATTCTAGACATAGGATGCTTCTGATGTAAAAGATCATTGTTTTATTTTTACTTTAGTTTTAGAAATGTAGCTGTAATCAATCCATATTCAGTTAGGACATAGGTAAGTTGCTTATCACAGTAGCCCTGTGCTGACAGGCTCTCTAACTTGGTATGAAGTGCTGTCTGATTGTACTGCTTTGCCCCATGTTTTCTGACAGACTGGTCAGTGCATGAATTTCACATTGTTTTCCTGAGAACCCAGGGATTCAGAGGTGCTGTAGGAACTTTTCAATATTTAATTTTGTGTTTATGTTACATATACACCTTAAACTACTTCAAAGCCTGTGATTTAAAAATGATAGACACATACATTCAAACTTTTAATACAACAGAGACAACTGATGTGTTCCCCAGGTTCATTCACTCTTTACAGAACTCAGAATAAAGCTTGTCCTGCCTTATTCATGTCATTGAACTTCTTAAAAATGTGTCATAATTAGGAAAGTTGTGATTCTAGTCTGGTTGCTTGTTTCTGGCTAAGCATTTATACTAAGAGTGCTTAAAGAGAATTGGAAAACCCATGACTTGTTTCTCTGTACAGCAGACCCCCTTATCACATGGGACTACATTCCAGGGCCCCCAGTGGATGCCTGAGCCCTCAGTACCGAATTCTGTATATATACCATGTTTATTCCTATGCGTACATACCTATGATAAAGGTAATTTATAAATTAGGCACAGTAAGAGATTAACAATCTCTTTTATACCTACCTAAGATACAATTATAACAATATACTTTAGTAAAAGTTTTGTGATTGCAGTCTCTCTCTCTCTCTCTCTCAAAATATATTGTACTCACCCTTCTTATTGTGGTAATGTAAGATGACAAGATGCCTACATGATGAGATGAGGTGAGGTGAATGACGTAAGCATTGTGACGTTAGGGTTAGACTACTAATGATCTGACCATAAGTCAGAAGGAGGATCTTTTGTTTCTGGACCCTGATTGACTGGGTTGACTGAAACCGGAAAGTGAAACCACAGATAAGGGAGGAACCACTGTACTGTATTTATCTTCTGATATATATATATATATATATTTTTTTTAAGATTTTATTTATTTATTTGAGACAGAGAGAATGAGAGAGAGAGAGAGAGCACATGAGAGGGGGGAGGGTCAGGGAGAAGCAGGCTCCCTGCCGAGCAGGGAGCCCGATGCGGGACTCGATCCAGGGACTCCAGGGTCATGACCTGAGCCGAAAGCAGTCGCTTAACCAACTGAGCCACCCAGGCGCCCTATCTTCTGATATATAAAATAGAAGCAAAATAGCACATTTTTCAACTACTTAGCCCAATAGGAATTATATTGATTAATCTTATCTGTTACCTTTGGAAGTTTTTTGACTACACACAACTGTAAAACAGTATAATTATTGTGGCTATCTGAAAACAGGACCTTTTTTCATTTGGTGATATTTTTACAGAGACCTACATGGAAGGGATGGTGACTGGTCAGTATATCACATTTCCTAAATAAAAAATATTATTGATAGAGAGGTGTTAAAAAATTTTCTTAGGCCCTATGCTAAAAATTCATTAATTATAAAACGAAGTTCTCTATGTTTGACTCCAGAAAACATAGTGGTGTTAGACTTGAGGTGTCACAGAGGCGTGAAACACTTAGGATTCAGGAAATTAGCATTCCAGCTCTGCTTTGGCCAGCTCTGAGTCTTGGGGGAAGTCACTTAGTTTTTCATAGCTTTAATTTACTTATCCAACTTCCTTCGTAAGATTGCTTTGGCAAGTTAGTTTAACTGAAGTTAATTTGTTAAGTGTTATATAAAGTTTTGAGTATTATAAATGAAACTATTAAGGGTTATAATTTCTGATATATTCAGTTACAATTAGCATTTTTCCTTCTTCCCTATTCTATGCATCTTTTTATATTTTTTTCCCCAAATGTTCATTCCTTAGGGCATTACGCTAGAAGAGTTTGACAAATTGTCTTTCAATATGATTTTAATGAGCCCTCCCTGTCAACCATTCACCAGGTATGTATAATAACTATTTCTCTGTTGAGGAAGAGTACTTTCTTTTTTTTTTTTTTTAAAGATTTTATTTATTTATTTGAGAGAGAGAGAATGAGAGACAGAGAGCATGAGAAGGAGGAGGGTCAGAGGGAGAAGCAGACTCCCTGCCAAGCAGGGAGCCCGATGCGGGACTCGATCCCGGGACTCCAGGATCATGACCTGAGCCGAAGGCAGTCGCTTAACCAACTGAGCCACCCAGGCGCCCAGGAAGAGTACTTTCGAGGGAATTATACCATAGTTTCAAGCATGGACACTTTGAAGACTATTAGCTGCATTTTCATAATTTTGACAATTTTCATAAATAATTCCCTTTATCCCTTTATTTATAATTCAGCTTTAATCATAAAGGAAATAGCAGTTACTACCAAATGAGCAAAGCAGTTTGGTCAATAAAAGATATGCAGAGACTGTATGGGACCTCTTTTATACCTACCTAAGATACAATATTTATTTCTGACCTAAGTTACCTTAGATTAATTAAACTAATGAGTATTCAGAAATATCTTTTTAACTGATTAGTAAATTTTCATAATATTCAATTCCTAAATTACTTAACTGTAAAATTTAAAAGCTAATCAAGAATGTGTTTGTGAATTTTATGTTTCTCAGAATTCATATGTACATCGAGTAATTCTGACTTTTTATAGCTATTTTGCAATTCATTTTTTTCATTATGTAGTATTTATTTGGCTGTGTGTTTCAGGGAATTATATCTTAGGTGAAATCTTGACTAATCCATCTTCATTTAGATATTTTTAATTATTTTAAATAATTGTAACAATCCTCTGTCTTACATGGAGTATGCCATTTAATTTAACAAGCCTATGGGATAGGTGTTAATATTATCACATTTTATAGGTGAGAATCTGAGGCATAGAAAGATTAAGTAACTTTTTAAAGGCCATACAATTAGAAAATGTCAGAACCAGGATTTATCAATTATTTTATACCTTCCTACTTAAATGTATAAGATGATTTTAAGTGGGATATCACATGTAATAAATATTCTAATTTAAATGAATATTCTCATGCTTAATTTCCATCTAAGTTTTGCTTTATTTAAACAACTCTCTAGGAAATTAATTCCCCAAGGATTTATTGTGCACTTATAAGCCAGGCATTGCTTTTGATACTGTAGTTCCCATCCTCAAGGAGCTTATAGTTTAAGGGAATGACCGACAAGTAATTATCATATAATGTAATATAAGCTATATAATGAATGCTGGAAGTGCCATGAGAGCACAGAGGAGAAAGTGGCTTGCTGCATGCCAGGACACAGGAGTTCTTTGAGAGGCAGTATCTGAACTGTGTCTGAAAGCAGAGAGCATTCCACATGAAGATGCCTCCAAACATATGCAAGCATACGGCCTGTTTAACTACAGTAAGTAGGACGTACAGAACAGAATGCAGCCCCAGCACCGTGTAGCCTCATCCAGTACTGCGCGGGGCATGCTGTGTCTTCCCTACTGCCAGCAGCCCAACTCCAGCTGCTGATGGCAGCAGTAACTGATTCTGTAATACTGTCATCATTGCAACGCCGAGAGGAAAGGGACACAGTGAGAAGAACCCAAGATTTCTGAGGTATCTCTTCAAGTCCACTCTAAGTGTCTGTCTGAGCCTCAGATCCACAGATGGTTCTGGCCCTGCTGGAAGGTATGAGGGAACTGACAAGTGATGTCAAGTAACTCATCTGAGGCAATGAAGCTAGTAAGTACCCAAGTCTTAAACCCTGGTCCTCTGTTCCTGCTACCCAGACCCAATCCAAGTCTTCATTTCTGCTTGATTCTTGATCACATTGAATCTTACTTGTAAGATCTAATTGCTAGTCCAAATACTGAAATACTGCCTGTTTACATGTCCTGTTCTGACCTAGTTAGTCTAACCAAGTTGTAACTCCTGCTTGTAGAATCAAGCATTCAGGTTAAGTCTCTACTATTTACATTGGACAAAATTGTCTTAGTCTTACCTACTATGGTCTGCTTAGATGGTGATTAGTTATCAGTGCATTACTCTGTGTTGCCACCCTACCCAACCAGCTCATTCATCTGAACTTTTGTTGTCTCATCTGGGACAGAGCAAAAGGTATCATCAACCAATTGTGTGTATGTGTGTTTGTGTGTCTTTCCTAAACAAAATGATTTTAAGAGAGTAATTGATTTTAGTCTCTACTGACTATTTGTTCTTCTTTGTTCTCTTCTTTGCCTCATGTAAGTCATTTGGCATATTGTTTTATAATAAGCATATTTATTAGATAGGCAAGGCTTTTTTCATTTTTATTAAGTGAATAAATGCATTTTGTTCTCTATAGCAACAAAGATGATCATATTTTTTGTGAAGGCCAACTAATTTCACTTCTCTCAGTTTTGATGTTTTAAAAGTGATTTGGTATCTTTCTGTAAGGACGATTCTTGGTGAATTTTATTTGTACCTTTTTTATCCTTTAGAATTGGCCTGCAAGGTGATGTGACTGATCCAAGGACGAATAGCCTCTTACATGTTCTAGATATTCTCCCAAGGTAAAAACTTAGATTTTTTGTACAAGCTTACCTTAAATTTAAAACTTTGGATCTGGAAGAATGTAATATTTGTCATTTTATAGCGATTAGCAGCTTATACATGCAGCTTTCAGATACTGTGCATGTCATTTATCTCCCTCTGCCATGACTTATAGAATAACTGCAAATGTTTGCCATTCCGCGGTTGCCACTATAGTGAGTGACAGGGAATTACAGTCTAATAGCTAAGTTCTACTGCCTCTCCTTACAGTATTCATGATGCTAATGTTAGTGAATGCTGTTGCCCAAGGCCTGGAAACTTGTGCTAACCCTAGAAGCTGCCATTCTATATAAATGGCAGCCCTTTGAGTTGTGCAGTTCAGAGCCTCTGTGTGAACCCATGTTTCCTGATAAAGTTCAATGGAAATTAACATTTCAAATGTTAACTTCATTAGCTATGCCATTTTTATGGGGAAAATGAATAAAATATAAGTTGTCTCTATCCTCTATAAAGTCCTTTCGTAAAAAGAGAGAGTTCGGAAAATTATTTACCTCAAATCTCCCACAAGTAAGGATTTTCTTTACTTCTTACTTCTTAGTAATGACATGTTTAGAATTCCATTTGTTTCTGTTTTGTTTTAGATTACAAAAATTACCGAAATATATTCTTTTAGAAAATGTTAAAGGCTTTGAAGTATCTTCTACAAGGTAAAATATATAAGATGTGTTCATCTTAGACTTGGTATATTGTAAGAGCCATTTGGAAATAAAGATCTTAAAAATAAACCCATACATCCTGACATTTTATATATATTATATATTTTATTCATTAATATTGATTTTGATTAATTAATAATATAAAGTTTCACAAAGTTAGGTTCACCTGACTCTCTCCCATTTTGATATGTTTGAATTTTTGCAGAATGAGCACATATTTTAATGAGAATGGTATTCCTCAATTTTAGCTGCTTACATTGTTGCCTATTTCTTTAGAAGTAGGAGTATTCTCAGTAAGAAATGTTCCTCTTAATAAGCATTTTCTGTCCCGCAGTTAGGAGAAGCAAGCTCTGGATCAGAGCCCTTTCAGATGGTAGCCCAGCCAGAAAGTATCCGTGTCCTTGAACTGGCTGCCGTCTGATCAGTGCTCCCCTATCTGATTTGCTACAGATAGAGTTCATCCCAGTAGCAGATTTATCATCAGTAGACTAGTGATTCCAACTCTGGATAGAATATAGCCCCAGTTGGGATAAATTATCTGGCAGCTTTATTTATTTATTTATAATAGAAATCATCTCTATCTTTTTTTGAGAAATGCAATTTCTCAAGTACTGGACTTAATAATTATGACCTAGGATCATTCACTTTCTAAACAACTTCGGTGGAGGTACAGTTTTCATATAAAATGAAGTTTATGTATAATTTTTTTATATAAGAACCCCATTTCCAACTGTAGGGTGAAAGTTTTTCTTTTTTCTCTTAATTTTTCTTTTCAGAGACCTGTTAATACAAACATTAGAAAATTGCGGTTTTCAGTACCAAGAATTTCTATTATCTCCAACCTCTGTAGGTACCACAATTATCAACATTCCTATAAATTTTCCTAAAGGGAATTTGACTCAATAAAAAGAATAGATCTGTTTTGAATAATATTATACTGAGTGCCCTTGTGATGAGCACTGGGTATTGTATGTAAGTGACAAATAACTAAATAAACAAATAACTGAAACTAACATAACACTGTATGTTAACTCTACTGGAATTAAAATAAAATAAGATAAAATGCAAACATTGCTTCTATTTCATGAATATGAAATTGAAGTAAGTGGTTATGATATTTGGTAGATCTTTTATATTACAAGTTTCACTATTTTTTCTTTTATCATTGTGTTTGTTAGCCTCTTACTATCTTTAGCCTATTATACAGTTATTTGCCCTGAAATTAAAAGAAAACCTGTTTCAAAAATTAGATGTATATGTGCCATGGAAATTGGCATTATGTCTGATCTCATTAAGTTTATTTCATATTTACTGCCTTCTGACTTTCAAAATTTAGTGCATCCTCCTTTTTTAATAAAGTGAGGCAATAAATAGCCAATAGCTATATTTGAATTTTATTTTTTATGATTATTATTAATAATGAATGTGAGAATGTCTATATAACTTCTTATCTGGGAAATAGAAAATGAAAGTGACTCAAAGACATATGACTCATCAGATTCAATCTCTGTTCATTCAAATAAAGGTACAAAGCACCAATTTAAAAGGTTTAAGAATTTGCTACAAAAAAGTCTTCCACGTATCAATAACAGAATTTTTTCTGGCAGAAACTAAATGCATCCCTGTATGAGTTTTTTGTTAGGTGCAACAGTTGATATAGATCTCTTTAACTTCCTATATTAACTAACTGCTCTGCTTTACTCCAGCTTGGCATTCCAAATTCAAGGCTCCGGTATTTCCTTATTGCAAAGCTTCAGTCAGAACCATTACCTTTTCAAGTCCCTGGTCAGGTATTATTGTTGTTGTTGTTATTATTATTATTAGTATTATTATATTGTAAGTATATCTCAGTCGGCTAATTTATTTCAAGAACTACTTTGTGTGGGGGCGCCTGGGTGGCTCAGATGGTTGAGCGTCTGCCTTCGGCTCAGGTCATGATCTCAGGGTCCTGGGATCAAGTCCCGCATCAGGCTCCCTGCTCCTTGGGAGCCTGCTTCTCCCTCTGCCTCTCTCTCTCTCTCTCTCTCTCTCTCTCTCATGAATAAATAAATAAAATTTAAAAAAATATTAAAAAAAAAAAAAAAGAACTACTTTGTGGAAGCTTATATGTTTCCTACTGAGCTTATTATATAGACCATGACCTAAGTCTATTTCCTAGGGCTTTTTCCTCTCCTGTTGCTGTTTTTATTGTTTTAAACAAGACAAAAAAAACTTCTCTCTCATTATTAGAAAAAAATATAAGTTAAAAGTTAAAAAAGACTAACATCAGTGCTGTTATCCTTCTTTCTCCCTCTCATTTCCCTTTTGACCATTGACTATTTTGTGTCTGTCATTTTCCCTCCAGTAGAAGCCATTGATTATTTTTGATAAAATTCAGTTATACTATCTTAACAATTGCTTAACAGTATTTTAACACAAATTGGTTGCATTTTCTTTGAAGTCAGTGCTGTTTAGCCTTAATTGATTAAAATATAGTGATTAGTACAAACTAGAATAAAATGCTCAATTGCTGTAGATAGGATCTCTAATTATGCAAGCAACTGTACATCTTTCCGTCAAAATTGCTGTGGAAAACAGAGTTTCAGTGATTCAGTGAAGCTCTCCTTAATAGTCACAGGTAAAAACTCAAAAGTCTAATAGGGGGTCAGTCATGTCATTTGGATCCCCTGCCATACAATACCAATACATCCCCCCTTCCATGATGGTCAATTCCAAAAACAATATATAAACTATATTAACAAAGACATCAGCATTAAAAATTCCTGGAACTATTTTTCTTTTACAGCATAGGGCATTCATTATGCGTGGTTACATGTTTTGCAGGAAAACGGTTTTCCTATGGGACTCTTGAGTAGAAATAACCTTTCAGGGGAAAAAGTGCTTTCCCTTTTTTAATTATGAGTTTTCCTTTAGATCATGGGTATGTTCCAGTTTTTCTTTTTTAATGAAGGGGTATGGCAAACTTTGATCGAATACACATTTTCTGGAAATGTTAATGTTACTTTCTTTTCTTTCTTTTTTTTAAATGCTGTGCCTTTTAGTCCCATGACTTACTCATTCCATATCTAATGTTGCTTTCTAAACTTCTTTTTTAAATATAGTACTGTATCTATATTCAGCATACTTCCTATACAGCAGGCAGTAACTCCATGAAATAAATCAGTTGTAGCCTGATGACACTATAGCTATATGGTGAAAAACTTACAGTAACTTGTATACATACAAGTAAGTCACAATTCCTCTGTTTTTTAATGACAACTCTGTAAGGCTGAAGACATTTTTTGCATAATGTTGACTAGACATTATTAATTCATCATTTATTTTTAATAAAGCTTTGAACAGGTGTGTATTTTCACTTAATGCCAGGTACTGATGGAGTTTCCCAAAATTGAATCTGAATATCCAGGAAGAAATACAGTAGATACAGAAAATAAAATTGAAAGAAAGAAAATTGAACCTAGTATTTGCTTTGATAAGAGCAGACAACGTTCTGGAAAAGAGGCCATTCTTTTTAAGCTTGAAACTGTAGAAGAAATTGACCGGAAACATCACCAGGACAGTGATCTCTCTGTGCAGATGCTAAAAGATTTTCTTGAAGATGATGTTGACGTGAATCAGTATTTTTTACCGCCAAAGTCATTGCTGCGATACGCTCTTTTGTTAGACATTGTTAAGCCCACTTGCAGAAGGTCCACATGCTTTACCAAAGGGTAGGTTTTAAAAGCTCTTAGAATGGGATATTCAGAATAGCCAGGTTTTTATGACTATTGTTTCTTTCAGTTCTTCTCAAAACAAGGAGGATTTTACAAAATGTTTCTGCTAGAATGATTTCTTTTCTTTTCTTTTTTTTTTTTTTTTTGCCCTTAATTGCCTGCTTTCGTGTTCAATAGAATGCACAAGTGAAAATTCCTTCTGGCAGAACATTATGTGCACAACCCACAAAAGTGCTCACAAAACACAATGCCGTTTGTTTGGTGACCTTCATAAGAGCTTAATTACCCGTGGTGGAACATGGTTTCTGTAGATACTGAATTGCTACTTTTTAGCACCTTTCTTTTCATGGCACATCAAACCTCAAAAATTTATGTCCACTCTCATGATCAATGTATAAGAAGAAATTAAATTTTAATATCAAGAAATAAAGTTAAATCATCTGGTGGCTGTTAAAGCATATTTAAATTTTAATCAGTTTTTTAAATAAGTAATATATTTTTGTGGTTCAAAATTCAAAGGTACAAAGATTGTGAGACTCCTTTCCCTGTCTGTCTCTTGCTCATCCAATTTTCCTGCCCACATGCAACCAGAGATTTCAATTTACTGTCTAATCTTCCGAAGGTATTATGTGTGAGAGTGTATTTAAATATACATGTATATTTTACCCCCCTTTTTAAGTAAATGGTAATATACTGTATCTGTTATTATGTACTTTTTTCATTATACAATATAAATTGAATATTATTACATATGAGTACATAAAGAACTTTTCCATTTTCATGGTATATCATAATGTCTTTTATTGGTTACTTCTGGGTTATTTTTGAATGTTAATATGTTTTTCATCAGTTTTTTTAAACCTATAAAGAAGGGGAAAATTAGACCTTTCCAGAAAATTTTGTAAAAGATCTCTATCTCTGCTTTGTTAATGCCACTCAACCTCATTTGATGAGTAACTGTATGATTTGAAACTTCAAGCTTTCTCTTTTCACCCACTAGTTTTCATGCATGCTATGTCCCGATACAACCATGCCAGATTTATTCCGATTTTGTCATGTTCTGCCCTTGTACTTTCAGGGCAACTGGTTTATTGCTTTCCATTGCCTTAAAAGACTTTACTCAGCTGTTGTCTGTTTCCAAGTCTGATAAGACAAGACTTATCAGTTTGGTAATAAAAAACAACCTTGAAATTCTTTTGTAATTATAAAGATGGTATAAAGGAAGCCTTACTATAAAAGTCTATTTTAGTGTAGATAATATAAACAGGCACACACGCACACATATGAGAAAACAGATTTGCAAAAGTATTTTTCCCTGGTGTGTCTTTATATTTTAAATTGATCTATTTGGGGAAAAAGATTATGATAATATGTTGAACAGCTAGCTTGGCAGTGATCTTAGGGGAAGAAATATTACTAACACCTTGTATTTCTGTAGCTTTTTATACTTTTAATACAGTTTTTTATACAATGGCCTCTTTGTTGTGTGAAGAGGCGTGAAAACACTGCGTCACGGTAGGAGGCAGACGCACGTTCAGCAGGCCCGTGTTTGTCACAGTACTGGAGAGTGGGCTTTTCATTTTCAGTTCATGAGGAGAAGTGATGGTTCAGTCATTATAAAAAATAGTAGCAATTTATTTTCACCTGTATTTGGTTTAATGTAGCAGGGATGCCAATATTGAATAGCATTTGGATATAAAGTCTTAAGAAATGCATGCTTTCTAGTGATGAACATTAAGAAACTGACAATTAATACAAAGAAATGATAATTAATAATGCATGATCAAAGTGGTTTTTACACAATTCAAAACACTATGCCAAGTTTAGTGTCTGAGAAGTTTAAATAGAATGATCTTATGTCTTTCACCCAGTAATTTTTCACTTAACAGAGCATATTTATGTGTTTCAGACTATTTCAGAAGGATGTAACTATGTAGATTGATTAATTCATTCAAGAAATATTTAAGGAATTTCACATTAACAAAAACATTAGATGCTGCATAATACACATGTTAATCTTTCAGTTATGGAAGCTACATAGAAGGGACAGGATCTGTGTTACAGACGACAGAGGATGTGCAGGTATTGTATGTGCTTTAGAACTAAAATACTTGAAAATTGATTTAAATAAACCTATTTAATACTTAAAATTTGAGAATATTAAAATAATCTTACATGTTTAATTGGGAGTGGATATACATATTACTCATATATTTATGTAATATATATAATAATTCTTTACTATAGAATAAACCTTTTTGTTTCTTGTTGCTAGATGAGTTTATGTACAAAGAATATTTTCTATTTCACTTTCTCTTTTCTTATTCTCACCTTTGGTATTCTTTTTATTCCATAAGGAGTAAATTGAAATGCAGCATACAATAGTTAATGTTCTCTAAAATTATGCACAAATATCTTAATATTCCTTTGGATCACACGCTATAAAACTGCCTTTTAGGGAAAGATATCTACATCTTAGCAAGGCTTTTTATTAATACTTCAATTGTAAACTCTTCATGGCACCATAGTTGAAAAGAAGCTTGATATACTGCAAAAGTATTCTATACTTTTGAATAATTTTGAAGTGAAATCATGTTATCTCCTTTTATACTGAATTAAATTACCATTACTCTTACCATTAGTAAGAGTATGACAATTACTCTTACCATTAGTAAAATTTACCCATGGTAAAAATCCTATTAGAGGCAAATGGATTTGAGAATTTATATTTACCAAATGTATTTTATCATTTTAAGAAAATAATTTGATGAAATTGATCACAAACAGTAAACATTTTCATGATCTACTTGTTCGCATTGTGAAGTTGATTTCATTGATTATTCAGGTTTCTTTTTCATATCTTTCACTGCATTTCTTTTATGTCATATTGCCATTGTTTATTTCTTATGATTTAATTGAGGGATCAAAGCTTCCTGATTTTTTCAACATTAAGCTTCTCATTTTCAGACATTTCGTTTTCACAGTTTATACTGCCATTGATCAACCTATTATAGAGTTCATTGCAAGAGACATTTTACCCTGTGCATTTTGCTACCGGGTATCATAGCACACTATAGGTTCATCCTTTTTAAAGTGTCTCACAAGAGATGATCTTATCTTAACAAATCTACTTGCACTCTACTTTATCAGTTACCTTGGCTGTTTTCTTACAGATTGAGGATATCTACAAATCCCTTACCAATTTGTCACAAGAAGAAAAGATAACAAAATTGTTAATGCTTAAACTTCGATATTTCACTCCTAAAGAAATAGCAAGTCTCCTTGGATTTCCTTCAGATTTCGGTATGTGGGATACACGCAGACCCCGGCTTTTGTTTATTAAAGGTCCTAGAGTTCAATAGGGACTCATACTCATGTATTTTTTTTAATAAACCCTTGACCAGAAAGATGGATGTAAGAAAACTTCTTCCTTTCCTGATCATGCCATTTTTGACATTTTTCTTCCTCCTCTTTCTGTTTTTGTTCATAACCTAAGTCCATTCCCTTCAGTCTCAATGCTCTCTCTCTTTACTCCAATAATGGTCCCGAGTGGTTTTCAGGGAAGGAGGGCCAAACCCACAATTTCTCACCTCTCCCCACAGATGGTTATTAATAGCATGTCTGTCTCCAGCTTTATTTTCTTGATTCCATAAGTCCTGTTCTAAAAATCCCACACTAGATCTTATGAAAGAATGCCAGAAGTGTCCTTTTTATGAGGAAATTACAAGGTGGTTGAGGAATTAATTTATTTTTTTGGTAGTGAGCGTATTTGTATTTATTTTCTTTAAAGACACATACTGGGGCACCTGGGTGGCTCAGTTGGTTAAGCGACTGCCTTCGGCTCAGGTCATGATCCTGGAGTCCCTGGATTGAGTCCCGCATCAGGCTCCCTGCTCAGCAAGGAGCCTGCTTCTCCCTCTAACCCTCCCCCCGTCATGTATTCTCTCTCTCTCTCTCATTCTCGCTCTCTCAAATAAATAAATCTTAAAAAAAAAAAAAAAAGACACATACTTATCAGTTATGCATCTTTTGTCCTCCCTATAAGTGGAGAAAAGAGAAGGTGGGGAGGTGGTCTAGGAAAGTTTTCCTAATGGAAAGAGAGGATGACTCAGAGCACAGATGCCAGAATGGACAAAAGGTTATTGAGTGTGAGGCAGGGAATCTCAGGAACAAAAATGAAGATACAGTTGCAGAGGGAGAAAGACTCAGTCCTAACTCCTTTGCAGTCGGGGAAATCTAGGGATGGTTGCCATTAAGAGATTGGACACATGGCCTTTACCTTGTAGAGCACCCTGCCCCATCCCCGATCTCTCCTTCCTGGTGCCTGTGCTCTCCGTGGTCCCAATGCCATCAGTTTCGTAGGCTGGGGTAGGTGTGTGGCCAGTACCTGGCTGGTGGTGATTGGGGAAAGACAGACCTCCCTAACATGCTTCCAGGACTATGCAAACAGGAAATGTATTTTTGATAACTCGGGGGTTTGCAGAAAAGCCAAATTTTTCTAAATCCAATATTGTTGTAATATTAATTCAGTACTATTTTTGAAGCAGATAATGGGTTAAATAGATCATGTTTTAAATTCTAAATAATTGATTTACAGATGAGGTTTTGAAACACATCCTTTTGTACATTGGGAGTAAACTGTATAATTTGACTGTCCTCTTGGTATTTGGTTTTCTGAGTGTAGTCACAGCAACCAGGTTTATTTTGTAACTCTCTGCCTTTTTCTTGGTGATCTCATTCAGTCACAAATATCCTGGCGAGTGTTATTTAAGAAAAACACAAACTTCCCTTGTCTTAGTCTATGTCACAAAATGAGTGGGAACATCATAAAACAAATAAAAAGCTGAGAATTGGACTCAGGAATTTAATTCCCAGTCTATTACTATTTTTTTTTTCCTCTTTTAGGATGAACAATCAAAGGTACTTTCCATAGCACTAGAGAAGAGATTGACTATCTAATAACTAATTCCTACATTTTGAGTGTGTATTTCTTTAAGCAGTGGTAGTCACTGCAGAAATACTGACACTTAGCATGGACCCCAGAGTCAGACTGAGTGAGTTTGAATCCTAGCAGCACCTTAACCCCTCTGCTTTAGTTTATACCTCTATAGAATGGGGGTAATCACAACACCAACTTCATAGGGTCGTTGTGACTGTTAAGTGAGTTAACATATATAAAATGTTTACATGCTATCTGTCACACAATAAAAATTTAAATGTCAGCTTTTATTTTTATTTTTTGAAAGATTTGTTTATTTGAGAGAGAGTGAGAACGATAGGGAGAGAGAGAGAGAGAGCGAGCGAGCACGAATAGAGGGGAGGGGCAGAGGCAGAGGGAGAAGCAGACTCCCCGCAGAGCAGGGAGCCTGATGCAGGGCTCAATTCCAGGACCCTGAGATAATGACCTGAGCCAAAGGCAGACACTTAACTGACTAAGCCACCCAGGTGCCCCAGCTTTTATTTTTTCTTTTTCTTTTTCTTTTTTATTTTTTTTAAAGATTTTATTTATTTATTTGAGAGAGAGAGAATGAGAGACAGAGAGCATGAGAGGGAGGAGGGTCAGAGGGAGAAGCAGGCTCCCTGCCGAGCAGGGAGCCTGATGCGGGACTCGATCCTGGGACTCCAGGATCATGACCTGAGCCGAAGGCAGTCGCTTAACCAACTGAGCCACCCAGGTGCCCTCCCAGCTTTTATTTTTAAATGATGAACATTTATTTGCTTTTATAGCCTTTACTTCATAAGTAGTTTTTTTCATCATTTAAAAATTTTACATAGGTAAATTAGGATTTTTCACAGCTCTCTGAAAATATATGTATAATATGTACAAGAAAGGCTTTTTAATTGCTTAGCCTTCTTTTAAAATATGTGATATATTTGTATAATCAGGCTTGACTGATGTCACACTGAGCAGCACTGTGACAGAACTGTCCTTCATATGTGCATTATTGACTCTGAATCTGGAATGTTTGAGCTGCTTGTCCACTGTCAATGTTGGATTTGCATCGATCCTTTCATACATTTTGTGCTGGTTCTTTTTGTGGCTAGTGGCATGCATTTGTGAGATAGCAAGCTTTGGAAGAGACCACTAAGCTACACTTACAGAATGAAAGCTGCTATCTTGACCTTGTTAATGCTATGTTTCTTTGTTTTTGAAGATTATTATTATTTTTAATGTACCTAAGTTTTTTTTTTTTAATGTACCTAAGTTTTTAAAAAGTCACCTTTTAATTTAAAAAAGTTATATCTGTATATAAAATACACAAGCACCCACACATATGTATAATTTTTGCAAATCTGACTTGTTTGCTTTCAAACCTTTCTTACCCTGTGATGTAATCGTAATATTACAAAAGGTCATCCCTAGAATATTCTAAAAGTCTGTGATCTATTTGTATCTCTTTCTAATTTGAATGAAATAATTTTTTAGATGACTAATGTGCTTACCTAAGACATATTATCTTTATAATAGCAATTTTATGATCTTGCTCAATTGCAAATATAATTTTATTATGTAATCACTAATTTTATTGCAGTAAGTATAATGTCAAGTGTTGATAAAGCAACTTTATCATAATCAATTCTTCCTTCTGTTCCTCACAAAATATGTAATTTGCTTTTCTTAATACTTTTTAATTATTTCCTTCATTTTATTATATAAATTTTCCTTTATTTAATTGCTATGTCAAAGGATACTGAATATGAAAATTGTAACTAACATTATAGTATAAACTTCATGGACAGTCTTTTATGTTGCTACTTGCAAGGCTTTGTCCTAGCAAATTTTGTATCTGTGGGCCATTTTGTTTTGAAAAACAATATAGCAAATGGAAGTCCAATATGAGAAAGCACATTTGTGGAAATGGAAAATAAAAAACAACTGTGAGAAACTTATATCCAAAATATGTAAAGAATTCTCACAACTCAACAATAAAAAGAAAAATAGTTCAATTAAAAATGGGCAAAAGATTTGAATAGATATTTCCCAAAGAAGATAGACAAATGGCCAGTAAGCACATGAAAAGATGTCTTCACCATTAGTTATTAGGGAAATGTAAATCAAAACCACAAGAAGCTACCACTTCACAAAAAGACAAACAATAACAATGTTGACAAAGATGTGGAGAAATCAGGTCCCTTATACATTGCTGGTCGAGTATAAAATGGTGCAGCTACTTTGGAGAACAGTTTTGCAGTTCCTCAAATGTTAGATGTGGAGTTACTGTATGAATCAGCATTTTCACCCCCAGGAATATATCCAAGAGAGCTGAAAATGTCCACACAAAAATGTATATGTAATGCTTATAACAGCATCATTCATAATCAAAAAGTAGAAAAAACCCAATGTCTATCAGCAGATAAATAGATAAATAAAATGTGGTATATCCATGCAATAGAATACTATTTAGTTATAAAGAGGAGGGGGTATTGGTACATCATGTTGTTTTGCTTCTTAGATTCCACATATAAGTGAGATTTGTCCTTTTTTCTCTGACTTACTTCACATAGTATAATGCCCTCAAGGTCCATCTGTATTGTTGCAAATGGCAAGATTTCATTCTTTTTTATGACTGAATAGTATTCCTGTGTGTGTGTGTGTGTGTGTGTGTAGATTGTTTTCATATCTTGGCTATTGTAAATAATGCTGCAGTGAACATGGGGTGCATATATCTTTTCAAATTAGTGTTTTCATTTTTACCTCATAAATACCCAGAAGTGAAATTACTGGATCATATGGTAGTTCTATTTTTAATTTGTTGGGAAACCATACTGTTTTCCATAGTGGCTGCACCAGTGTATATTCCCTCAATATATTTTGCATATTAACTCCTAATTAGATATATGATTTGTAAATATTTTCTCCCATTCAGTAGATTGCATTTTCATTTTGTTGATGATTTTCTTTGCTTTGTTATGCAAAAGCTTTTTAGTTTGATGTAGCCCCACTTGTTTATTTTTACTTTTTTTTGCCTTTGCTTTTGGAGTCAGATCCAAAAAATTCTCGCCAAGACTGATGTCAAGGAGCTTACTTTACTGCCTGTGTTTTCTTTCTTTTTTTTTTTTTTTAAGGATTTTATTTATTTATTTGATAGAGACACAGCGAGAGAGGCAACACAAGCAGGGGGAGTGGGAGAGGGAGAAGCAGGCTTCCCGCTGAGCAGGGAGCCCAACGCGGGGCTTGATCCCAGGCCCCTGGGATCATGACCTGAGCCGAAGGCAGACGCTTAACAACTGAGCCACCCAGGCATCCCTCTGCCTGTGTTTTCTTTTAGGAGTTTATGGCTTCAGGTCTTACATTCTAGTCTTTAATCCATTTTGAGTTAATTTTTGTGTATCAGAGCAGAGCTTCCAGCTTTGTTCTTTCACAAGATTGCTTTGGCTATTTAGGGTCCTTTGTGATTCCATATGAATTCTAGGATTGTGTATTATACTTCTGTCAAAAATGCCATTGGAATGTTGATAGGTATTGCCTTGAATATGTAGACTGTGGACATTTTACTAATAATTCTTCCAACCCATGAGCACGGACTGTCTTTCCATTTGTGTCTTTCATTTCTTTTATCAGTGCCTTACAATTTTTAGTGTACAGATCTTTTACCTCCTTGATTAAATTTATTCCTAGGTATTTTATTCTTTTTGATGGAGTTGTAAATGGGATTGTTTTCTTAATTTCTCTTTCTGATAGTTTGTTGTCAGTGTCTAGAAACACAACAGATCTTTATATATTAATTTTGTATCCTGAAACTTCACTGAATTCATTTATTAGTTCTGACAGGTTTTTTTTGGTGGAGTCTTTGGGGGGTTTATATATATATATAATATCATGTCATCAGCAAATTGTGACAGTTTTCCTTTTTCCTTTCCACTTTGGATTCCTGTGATCTCTTTCTTTGCCTAATTGCTCTGGGTAAGACTTCCAATACTATGTTGAATAAAAGTGGCAAGAGTGGGCATCCTTGTCTTGTTCCTGATCTTAGAGGAAAATTTTTAGCTTTTTATTTTTGAGTATGATGTTAGATGTGGGCCAGCTTTCTTTTTGAGGTAATAAAAATGTTCTGGAATTAAATAGTGGGGATGCATGCAAAACTCTGACTCTTCTAAAAACCACTGAATTGTACATTTTAAAAGGGTGAACTTTATCTCCATAAAGCTGTTATTAAGTAAAGGAAAACAACTGTGAAATAATGGTAGCCACTACTTTTCCTAAAGTGCTTTAAAATACAGATTTCAATGAGTTTCATGGTTGTTATGGGTGCACTTATGTGTACGCTGAACATAATATGTTATGTGATATGATAATATCACATTGTGTAGGCAATGTAATCTTCTATTTTTGGCTTCATATTCTCATTTGTTAATTGAATTTCATGGAGATCTTAGGGACTTATTTATGTGAATGACCACTTTGTTCTTACTGAAGGTTACATCATCCTTTTATCTCTGGAAGTTAATATTTTAAATGATTGTATTGTAAATTATTATCTCTCTTTTCTAGGATTTCCTGAGAAGATAACTGTGAAACAGCGTTATCGTCTACTTGGAAATAGTCTTAATGTGCATATAGTAGCTAAACTAATCAAAATCCTATATGAATAATTTAAAAATGACTCTGAAAGATGGTCACATTATTTCTTCATATCCAGATGGTAATTCTGAAATTCTATTTTGAATTGATTTTGATGAAATTCAACTCAACTACCTTTATCTCTTTAAAAAGAAATTTGGATTTATCATAAAAATGCCAGTTTTTTTCCTAAATTTGTATTACTATATTTTATAAAGCAGAAATTACTATGCTTTAGGAGAATATATTTTCATATGAAATTGCTAAATATACATGTAAAATATTCTCTTTTTAATATTATGGTATTGACAAATTTAGGAGGAACATTGGAGTTTGTCTACATGAGTATCTTGTGAAGTGTCATGACAGGCATAGTATAGTGAACCTGAGATATTATGTTTTTGTATGTTAATTAAACAAATTGCTTTATGAATCCTATCATTTTTTTGGTGGATGATTAATTCCTCATTCTAAAATGATGACTCTAATTCTGGCCTGTTGCAAACATTGAATGTTTTACTTAATTCCAATCCTTTAAACATTTCTTAATTGCATCTAAACAAATGCATATAATATTTTAAAACAAATTGTCATCATTCAGCATTATACAACAGTCTGAAGAAAATGTCAGAAAAATAATCTTAAATTCTTGATTACCTCTCCATTGGAAGCTACAGAAGATGTAGGTACACATTATCTGATTATCTTTAATTCTATCTCCATCTGAACCGCGAAACTTCACTGTCCTTTCTTCATTTGTAAATAACTTTCCTTTAGTTTGCTATCATCAGAGCTTGCTTTTGTCTTCCTTCTCCACTTCTTGTAACTTAAATTTTCCATCACCTTCTAAGGATGTAGCATGACATTCAGATTTTAGGGAGGAATCTCTGCCCTCTGACCCCAATTCATATGACTGTTCTGTGAATTAGCTTTTTAAACTTTCACTTCCTCTCTCAGTAGAGTTCTTGGAATTAGGGTTTCTAATCAGACTCTTGTATCATAAATCCTGTGATTTTGATTTCAGTTATAAAAGCAAGTGACAAAAAGAAGAAAATTGAGAAGAAATAAGACCAGAGATTGTATCACAAAATAAAAATGATATTTTTATTCTTAAAAGAATCATTTTGATGTGGAGAAATTGAAACCCTGTGCACTGCTGGTGGAAATATAAAATGGTGCAGCCACTGCAGAAAATAGATGATGATTCCTTAAGAAAAATTAAACATACAATTACCATACGATCCAGCAATTCCACTTCTGGGTATTTACTCAAAAGGATTGAAAGTAAGGACTTGAACAGATATTTGTACAGTAATGTTCATAGCAGCATTATTCACAATAGCCAAAAAGTGGAAACGATGGAAATGTCCATCAGTGGATGAATGGATAAACAAAACGTGGTGTATACATCAGTGGAATATTATTCAACCATGAACAGAAAGAAATTCTGACACATGCAACAACATGGATGACCCTTGAGGATATTATGAACAGTAAAATAAGCCAGACACAGAGGACAAATTTCCTATAATTCCACTTATATGGGGTATGTGAAAGCATCAAGTTCATAGAGGCAGAAAGTAGACTAGGCGTTACCAGGGCTTAGGGCACCTGGGTAATGGGAGTTCATGTTTAATGGGTTTAATGAGTTTCTCTTTGGGGTGTTGAAAAAGTTGTGGGGATAGATGGTGGTGATGGTTGCACAGCAGTGTAAATACTTAATGCCACTGAACTGTATACTTAGCAGTCCTTAAAATGACAAGTTTTATGTTATAGACATTTTACCACAGTTTAACAAAAAAACATAATTATTCCCCACCACCGTTTTTTTTCAGAAAAACTCATAGATAAATATGGATATAGGGAAGCTGTAGGCCAATGCATATATATCAATTATCACATCTACATTTTGTGTGTGATGTTTAAAGACAAACCTTATTACAAGTCTCATAAATTTTAGTATACAACAATCTGAAATTACTTTGGCATACTTTCACTAGGTTCTCTTCACTGCTGAAAGAATCTTACTGATAAAAAGGTTCAGAGTTTTACTATGATTAAGCTGTAATTATAGTGTCTTGTGCCCCATTGAGCAATGTTACACAAAATAAATGTTGAGTCCAGTGCACCAACTACAAACCTAGGAAAGCTCTGTAGAGTGTTTTCTTCCTAACTAGAAGGCAGAATATTGCTTTTTGAATTTTTTTAAATTATTGTAGTATATTCATGGGCATAATGATTCTTGCCCTTGAAAATAAAAAAGGAGCAAGCATAAAACTCACACCTTAATGAAGACATATTTAACAGTGTGATTTATTTAGTTTATATGTACATGGAAAATTAATCTTAAAAATGTTATTTTATTGGGCGCCTGGGTGGCTCAGTTGGTTAAGTGACTGCCTTCGGCTCGGGTCATGATCCTGGAGTCCCGGGATCGAGTCCCGCATCGAGCTACCTGCTCGGCAGGGAGTCTGCTTCTCCCTCTCCCGCTCCCCCTCTTGTGCTCTTTCTCTCTCTCACTCTCTCTCTCAAATAAATAAATAAAATCTTTAAAAAAAAATGTTATTTTATTGAATGCCTATTCTATGTTATTGGTAATAAATATGCCTAACATTTGTTCTAGAAATCCTATTTTCTGATGTTTGGACTTACTGTTAATTTATGTAGTATTTTGGAAACTAGAGCCTCTTCTTCTAAAAAGAACTGTATGCAATGAAATCTTTGCCATTTCTAACAGTAAACTGATCTATTATCCTCCTTTTTATATCATTCCTTTTGGTGCTCTCTCAAATTGCTTGCCAAATAATTTTAAGTTATTACCCTGCCTCATACTTTTGGTAACTTTTTTTGGATCCAAAAATAACAAACAAGAGATAACCAGATGAATGAATACAAACAAGATGAATCATATTGGAAAATTTTTTGAGAAGGGGATGGATAGTCATCATACGAGAAAGATCTGGAGCTCAACAGTCTTACGACGCAGGAGAGCCAAGTGACCAGAGGGAGGGCGTGAATCACCCTGTAACTAAGGGATCAGCTGACCTTCAGATCACCCTGCATGTTTCATTTTGGCTCTTCAATCAGACCCACACCAGGGGCGGTGCCCGTGAAAAGTGAGAAAATACCTCTGACTACCAGCCCACTTGCTCCCCTTCTCAAGATTAGAGCCTTTTCAAGGGACAAAACCAGGAGTGGAAATTGTGAAAGTCAGGACTATGCAACACTTTTTAAAAAATTGTGGGTTGGGGGTAGGATTCCTTAACAAGAATCCCAGTCTGTCCTCTGGTTCAATCTCAGTATGGTTCGGGTCAGAAGTTATTAAACTGGAGGCTTCTGAGGATGGAGAAATGAAGCTAAGGACACATAAAACTGGTTAATTCCAGTGACAGTGCAGAATGAAGAAGCAACTGCCGTGTCGGCCCAAACTCAAGCACATACTGACTGATGCATCCAAACTAAAGTGGCTCTGGGTGCCTTTTTGGGGGGAAGGGAGGTAATTTTATAGTTTAAAATGAGAATTTAGGGGCACCTGGGGGGCTCAGATAGTTATGCATCTGCCTTCGGCTCAGGTCATGATCTCTGGGTCTTGGGATTGAGCCCCAGGTCTGGCTCCCTGCTCGGTGGGGAGTCTGCTTCTATCTCTCCCTCTGCTTCTCTCCCTGCTCATGCTCTCTCTCTCTCTCTGAGATGAATAAATAAAATCTTAAAAAAAATAAAATCAGAATTTAGAATCAAGAGGTTCCCAAATAAGCCAAGATAACATAATAAGGATCTAACTTTAAGCCCATTTAGACAAAGTAGTTAAAGCATGTTTTCCTCAGGTGGTTATGTTATTGAAAAGAAGGCTAACTTTTTATTATTTGGTCCACAGCTTGGAACTATGACTATTTTAGGTCACACGTTATAAACTGGTTTACAAATAGCTTTGGACTTTGAACTTGAGTAAAGGTCATATGGTCTCAGCAGTTTTCTCATAGCCTGTAGTTGAACTCATTATGTAATTTTTCAACACAGCCTTTGAACCTCCCTGTACTAGAACTCTTCCTTTCAACTTCTAATGTCAAAGTGTGCTGCATACAACTATCCTATCACTTTCCTGACATTCATTTATTTTTTTGATCCACATCCAATCCAGCCACTTCTTCCCCCATTCATCATACCAAGATATCTTGATATGCCTGTAATACTTCATTTAGGAATGCCCCTTTGCACATTTTACTAAAGGCAGTATGAATCTTAAACGTGTTCCCCAACTTTAATTTATATCAGCCAACCTTTCAGCACTGTTTTTCCTCTCTTGTCATTCCCTTACTTTGCTACTAAAATTTTAAAACTTGTGTTTTTTTTTTTTTTTTTTTTTTAATCTATTTTCCTAGCCTCTATGTCTGTTTCTCTCTTTAGGACTTCTAAGAATATTTTACACTAAGATACTCATGCTCTTTAAAATCTTTTGCAACCATGACTCAAACTATTTCACTATTTTTGTCTTGACTTGTGAGTTTATTCCTTTTAAAATTTATTTGTTCAATAAATATGAACGTGCAGAGAACTTTTTTGGCTTCTGGTTCTGAAATACTCAAATTTGTTTTCTGAGTCTTATTTTCAGCTACATCCAACACTTACAGCTCTCCCTCAAGTACACTCTACCTGATTCCTAAAGCTTTCAAAAACTTATTTTTCCTATAAATAGAAATCTAGATAGAAGTTTTCCCGAACTAGAAGATAGGAAGTTAATTTTCCTGTAGAACTCTTCATCATAGCTCTGGAATGTTCTCATTTCTTTGCTTGTACATACCACAGTTCCATTGTTTACTTCAAGCATTTGCTCTATATTTTATTTTGTTTGCACCTTTATGTCTATTCATATCAGTGCAGGTTTAAATTATAAGAGTGTAAGTAGGGAACATGTTTATTTAGCCAAGTTGGCTCTATAATCAGATGAGATCACCTGAAGAGTCTAAAGAGAGAGAGTGGAGAGTGGAGGTCTGGGGTGGAGCTCATCCATTACTGAAGATTCAGTCCTCAGTTCTCTTTACCCTTTACTTTCAAGCCATTTTTCTAAGGTCTCACCCTTTCCTACAACTTCGTTTGCCTGGGATACCCAGATAATTCCAGATCCAATATTTTTCCTAAGCCCTATTCTAGAAGGTTTATGCTGGGACATCTTTAACTTGAGTATCTTCCTGTCACATCAAACTTAGCATATTTGAAAACAAGTAAATCATCCTCCATTTAAAAATCAGTCCCTCTTGGGGCACCTGGGTGGCTCCATCAGTTAAGCATCAGACTCTTGGTTTTGGCTCAGGTCATGATCTCAGGGTTGTAAAATTGAGCCCCGTGTCAGGCTCCACACTCAGCATGAAGTCTGCTTGTCCCTTTCCCTCTGCTTCTCCCCCTGCTCTTTCTCTCAAATAAATAAACAAATAAATACAATCTTAAAAACTTACTTTTAAAAAATCAGTTCCACTCACAATTAACTTCAATATTTCTCTTCACGATACTGCTTCTCTCCCAGTCTCTCAAGTTTAAACCCCATCACCCAAGATCATTGTCACCTTCTTTCTCACTCTATTTCCATTTATAAGCTTCTGTTAATAAAATGGCCTTCCCTTGAAAGCCTTCCCTGAGCAATGATTCATGTTAGGAAAACAGAAAATGTCACTTTGAAACCTCAAGACATACATGTCCATTTCCAACCAGATTTGTATGCTTGGCTGAACATAAGGACATTGAACAATTTTCAGCCTTCTGAATTTAATCTAGCGTGAGTATCATTTTTACTCAGATAGTTGTTATTCTACTCACTTAGCTATTTCCTTACACAAGTACAATTAAACATCTCTCACACACAGAAATGATTGAAGATACCTAATGGAATGTGATAGTCTTTGTGTAGTAGATTTAAGTTGAGTTTGCTGTTTGAAAAGCTAATGCTATGGATGATTAGACAATGAGCTTGATAGTTGATTTGAATTCATTTTAAGTGAAAAACATCCCATATTTTGGAGAATGTAAACTTCCAAGAAGGCAGGGATATTTAATTTTTTTTTTTTTTTCACTGCTACCTTTCCAGGGACTAAAACAGTACCTGGCCCATAATGAGCCCTTAGTAAATACTTGTTAGATGAGTGACTGTAGTCTCCATACTGGATCAATATAGAAGCTGCCTAAAGGCCATAAATATACTGTGGAATTTAAACAGTATCTTTAAGTCACTCTCCTGAGAACTATTTATGTTACTGCCACTTTCGAATAGCCAAATTTACTCAAGTTTAGAACTCATGATTTAAAAAACAATTCTAGGATAGGGCTTGATCTTTTGGCTAAGGAAGTTGTGCAGATAGAAATTTTTTAAAATATTGCATTCTGACTTCTTGCCTGGACAAGAGGGCAGGCTCATTTCTCTTTGCTCCTTCTAAGTACAATTATCCATTCTGGATAAGTATGATTATAAGACAATGCAAAAGACATCAAAAAGAGGACTGTGAAAGGTGGGAAGAGGAAAACAAACCAGCTAGGTAATCCCAAGACTGGAAGGGAAACATGGTTGCAGAATGTCTTAAAAGCTCCCACCCAACAGAAGAAGGTGACCCATGTTTGGTGTTTCCTGACTCCAAACCTCACAAGATAAGGGAGCCCAGCATGGCTCATTCCTATCCCAGATGGAACTAGAGTCCTACTGACCAACACAGGATGAGTCTGATACCACCAGCAAGGGCAATATACAGGGCTCCCGCATTGACAAGTGTCCAGGGGAAGCACTCTTCTGCAAGACCTGAGACTCCTCTCACTTGCTCAGAACACTGGACAGCCAGAGAGCAGAGGCAAGGGGATCCTACTACAAAAGGCCTGATCCAGGAAGCTTCTTCTTCACCGTGGACAGGAGGCTCCTTATCCCAATCTATAGGTGCCAGGGGAAAACCAGGTCCCCCTAAAGCAGCACCATCAAGGACCATATGCAACCCCAGCAGTACCAGGTAAACCAACCAGACCAAAAGACTCTGAAAATTAAACTGCCACTGGAATCACAAACCAAAAAGCAGGCCAGGGTCTGCATGCTAAACATAGAATGACTACTTGCTAAAATAAAAGATTAAAATAAGACCCAGAGCCTCCTAACATCCAGGATACAATCTAAAATTACTTGTCATACCGAGAACCAAGAAAACCACAACTTGAATGAGAAAAGATAAGTCAACTGATGATGCCACCAAAATGAACCAGAGATTGGAATTATCTGACAAGGATTTTAAAGCAGCCATTGTAAAAATGCCTCTGCAAATAATTACAAATTCTATTGGAACAAAAAATAGAAAGCCTCAGCAAAGAAATAGGTAACAAAGAGTTTTAAAAAGTTAACAAAAAAATCACTGTGGTGTGTGCATTATATCCCAATTTTTAGAAAAAGAAATAATGGTAATTATTTAACTGAAAAATACAATAACCAAAATAAACTTAATGAATGGTACAGTGGAAATGACAGAAGATTAAATCAGTAACTTGAAAATAAACCAATAGAGTTTATGCAATCTCAATAACAGAAGAAAGATTGGGGGGAAAATGAACGTCAGTGATCTGTGGGACAATAACGAGAGTGCCAATATTCATGTATTTGAAGTCCCAGAAGTAAAGGAGAAAAATAGAGTAGAGCTGGGAGAATATGCAAAGAAATAACGGATGGAAACATCTCACATTTAGCAAAAGATACAATCATGCAGGTTCAAAAAGCTGAGTGAACCACAAATAGGATAAACTTAAAGAAATCCAAAAGATACATCATAATTAAATATGAAAACTAAAAACAAAGAAAAAGACATCAAAAACAGCCAGAGAAAATGACACAATCTTAGAGGGGAGCACAATTTGAATGACTGCAGATTTTCATCAGAAACCACGGGGGCCAGAAAGAGATGGCACAACATTTTCAAGTGCTGAAAGAAAAGAACTGTTAATTGCAAATTCTGTACTCCTCCAAACTATCCTGCAGGACTGAAGAGAAATAGTGGTATTTTCAAATGAAGCAAAACTGAAAGTATGTGTTGCTAGCAAACCTACCCCAAAAGAATGCCTAATGGAAGTTCCTCAAACAGAAATGAAATGATAAAAGGCATCTTGGAGCATCAGAAAGGAAGAACAATGGAAAGAATAGAATTAGGGATGCATACAATAAATAGGGTCCTCATGACTTTCATGAATCCCATTTGATGATTGAGACCAAAATTGTAATTTCATCTGATGCTCAAGACAATGATATTTAAAAGTAGGGAAGGTAAAGGGACCTAAATGGAAGTGAGACTTCGTTTCCTGTGAAGTGGTAAAATGCTGATACCAGGAGACTGTGATAAGTCATAAGTGTATATCGTAATACCCAGAGCAACCACTGCAAAAACTATACAAAGAAATGCACTCAAAACTCTAAAATAAATCAAGCTGGAAGGCAAGAAAAGGGGAACAAGACTGAGGAGTGGAGGAAACAAGAAAACAAATTGTATATATCTGTACACTGGATTCAGCCGTAAAAAGGATGGATGGACCTTGGAAACGATGCTAAGTGAGAGAAGCCAGACCCAAAAGAGCACATATTACATAATTTCATTTTATATGAAATGTCCAGAATAGGCAAGGTTGATTAGTGATTTCCAGAGGAAGGGGAAAGAGGGGAATTGAGAGGTACAGAATTTCTTTTTGAGGTGATGGGAATGTTTTGGGATTAGTGGCGATGGTGGTAAACTCTGAAAATACTAAAAAGCATTTAATTGTACACATAAGTAGGGTGAAATTTATGGTATTAAAAATATAAATTTGGTATATGAATAATATATGAGTATATAAACTTTATTGTATATAACAATACAGTTACTGTCAAGGAGACTAGGTGGTGACATTGAATTAGGTTCATGTGAAAAAAGAGGAGGAGACATAATTTTATACATGTATATCCTATGATTATAACTGAAATTATTCATCTGTAAGTAGATTGGAATAAAATAATAGATAAGGGTTACATTAGAGCAATTGAATTCTAAGTTTTCTTGTTTATACTCTGCAAATTGAATATAGTACAGTTACATTTCTTTTATCATTAAAACATTCTTTCATTCAAAACTAATATTCTATTCTAAGTCTCTACCATGGAGTCTGATCATTTTAAACAATCTTCGAAGTCACTGCTTCCTTTGCATTCTCATGGCACGTAATACAGTCTCCTCCCCAGACATTTTCCCCTCAAGACAGAGGCTGCATCTTACCCAGTTCTGTCTGCTCAGCACCTCTCTCAGAGGCTGACAAATGGTGGGTACTTAATAAATAATTGTCCAGTTAATCTGACTTGAATATGAGCATGCTGAGTTTTGTAGCAGAATCATTATGGTCTTTGACGACTTGGGGAATTGTTGGCATAATTCTATCGGTCAACTTAAAGAAGAAAAACACAAGTTTTATAGGAAAAGTATTTAATACCAGAATTGTGTGTAACGCCTAAGGGATTGTTTATGCCTCCTATAAATATAGTCTAGGAGTTTTTGACAAAGCTTGATTTAGCAGGACTTCTGTAATAATATAGCCCAAGCTCCTATATAAAAAAAATACAAAGGGACAAAGGCTTCGGTTTTTACAGATCTTGGAATAAGGGCACTGAAAAAGACCGAGAGGTGAGGTCATCTCATCCTTCTTCCTGCCCTGATGACAACACCTTCTATCTTCCCACAGATCTGTGTGGCACTTCAATTAATGAATCCCCTGGGAATGGTGGTGCTTTGTAAGGCATCAGCCTTGTGAGAACACTCCCCCCATCATAAATCACATCAATGAAGCAAAGCCTCCCATTGCCAGATAAAGATCCTTCTGTGTGCTGCTCCTGTCTGTAGCTTCCCAATTAAAAATACAAGAGGCAGAGTTCTGTAGTGTGCCAAATATCCCTAAACTCTTCCCCGCCCCCCTCCGCCC